GGAACCCAACTAGGATTGCCTTCCCCAGTCCCCAAGGCTGTTTTATGTTTGAGACAGGAAGCACACAGTCAGATGGCACATAACAGAATGTGCTACAGAAGAGGAACACCAGACCATCAAGCCATGAATGATCAGCCCAGGCATTTCAACATGGCAGAGGGATGAGGAGTCGAGAAAAGAGCTATCTAAATAGTCCTGGTGAACTTTGAGGCATGTGGGAAATAATAGATTCATCTCATTTCAGGCTCAAAAAGTTTCAGAATACCTAGATTAATAAATTAATCATACATCCTTAGTTAATCTATGTGGTAGTCTAATAAGTGCCAAAAGAATGAACTCCTTAGCAGGGCGAAAAGTCATTAACAATATAGATATGTTGCCCAGACTAAGGTTTCTCTCTAGGGCAGAATCTTCAAATTTCCCTCTAATGCTAAACCTTGGGATAAAAAATTATACAGGGCTAGGCCTGTGGCCTGGTGATTAAGGGAGCCAGATCCTACATGTCCAACCATGGTTCAAATCCTGACCCCAGAGGCTTGAAAAACATAAGCACATGCATTGCCCAAATCCTGACAGGATGGAGAAATGGAGGAGAGAGGATTGTGGTATGAACAGATCCCATTGGGGAGTGCTTCCACTTTCTTTCTCTCTCATGAGCACACATATCCTCTGGCACTTAAAAAGAAAAAAAAAATTATGTAAATGGTACCTTACAACCCAGTAATTTCATTTTAGCAAAAGTATCCATAATTTAAGGGAAAGGGGAAGCAACCTTGGATGAAATCAAAGATACAGGGCCTTTACCTCTTTTCTTTATGCATGAAGACTGAGGTAAAATGGACTAACAGGTCCAAGCCATCAGTTTATACACAAAATGGGGTTTCAGGTAGCATACTACTACCAGGACAGCTTAAAGGCCAAGTTAGCCTTAAGCATCTTAGTTTGGATCTGGCAGAAACAAAACAGCTGCTGTGCCTTATTCCTTTCCCTAAAGATTAGGAGATGGAACCCAACTGCCAAGTAGGGTGCCAATAGTAGGGTATGTGTTTTGATGCTATACTTGTAAAGTTGGACTACATCCAAATACAAGCCCATAAAAAGCCTGGCTATGGCTTGTTTGCAGGCACTGACAGTGGCCAGATTGGGAAAGCCCATGTCAAAGTAGCCACAATGCAAAAATACATAAAGCAGCATCCAGAAGGGTAGGCCTAAGAAATAATAGTAGACACTGAGAGAGTAGTAAACATTAATTTTTAAAAATCCACTATGTTGGGGCCACTTCTAAAGCATTTGGATGGCAGTAAAAGGCAACAGGAAGGCAGGGCTGTGCCCCACACTGGACCCTAACTACAACTGCTACATTTTAGATGACATAAAGTCTAAGCCTAAGCGTAAAGATTGGAGACTCATAACAGGTTTTAGCGCCTTTGAGGGCACACTTCTATGTCCTATGATAAAGGCCTGATGTTTGATTTCTATTTGTCATGAAGTGGGGTTGGTGGGTAATGTAGTCTGGAAGAACAAGGCAAAAAAAACAGGAACTGAGCAAACTGAGACAAAGAAAATAATGATGAAATGGAATAAGTTCAATGAGTATATAGTACAAGTTGAAGCAGACAGGTAAGGTAAGCACACAGGAACCCAAATCACCTAAAAGACAGATGTTGAAAAAAAAATGGACTGGGGCCAGCAGGTGGTATGGTGGTTGGGGGGCTGTACTCCCACACAGCTGACTGCAGTCCAAGTCCTAGACCTGGCAGCTTGCTTTCTCACTTTCCCTCTCTCTCTTTTTCTCTCTCGTGAGTGAACGTGCCCTACGGCAAATTAGAAAATAATAATAATAGTAATTAATAAAATTAAATAAATAATTCTTTTAAAAAATGAATTTAGAGTCAGCAGGTGGCATAGCAATTAAGACACTGAACTCCCACATGGCTGACTGCAGTTTGAGTCCTGGCCCTGGTGGCTTGAAACTCATGATGGGTGCATGTGTGCGCATGCCCAAACTCTTGAGAGGGGAATGGAAAAGAAGGGATTGTAGTGTGGCCATCCCCTCACCACCAGCACCACCACCCGCCATGGGGGAGTGATTTCTCACTTTTTCTCTCTCCAGTGAACACATGAGAACTATAGCATAAATTTCTCTTTTTAAAAAATGGACTTAAGTGAAGCTAAAACTCTAAGTTCAGCATGGAGTTAACAGAAGCAAAAGAGACACCATGTACCAGAAACTCAATTTTGCAATCAAGGAATATGGTCTCAATATGCCTTTCTTTTTGAGAGGAAATCAATGAGTAGCTTCCCTGAGAAGAGTAAGGCTCCCACCTATGACCAGGAACAAATATCTAGATCAGCTGAAAAGAAACTAGTCACACAAGATAGGAGGAGAAGCAGCATCTCTAGCCAAGCACTGGCACAGCCTGAGAGTAATACCTACAAGAAGAAAAATTATTCTGATTACACTTTTTTGTTTTTGTCTTTAAGGTTTTGGCCATAGGGCATGTGTGCTTGTGTGCATGGAAGAGAGAGACAGTAAGAGAAAGTGAGCAATCACCTCTTGGGGGATGGCCACACTGCAATCCTTTCTCCTCCATTCTCCTTTTGGGGTTTTGAGCATATGTGTACATGTGCCTGGCATGATTTTCAAGCTGCCAGGTCTGGAAATTGAACCACAGTCAGACATGTGGGAGTCTAGCACCTTAACTCTCATACTACCTACTGGTCCCTACGCTTGTATTTTTTTTTTTTTAAAGAGATGGTAGGGGACCAGCAGATGGTGTAATGGTTATATCACTGGATTCCCATGTAGTCGACCACAGTTCGACCCAGTGGCTTAAAACCAATGCCGGGCACATATATATGCATGCCCGAAATCCCATGAGGAGAGTGGAGGAGAAGGGATTGAGGCGTGGCCAATCCCTATGGGGGGTGATTGATCACTTTCTGTCACTCTGTCTTTCTCTGTCTCTCTGGTGAGTGTATATATAGCAAATATCTCTCTTAAAAGGTTAAGGCACTGAATCCCACCTGGCCAACTCATGGACCTAGCAGCTTGAGAATCATGCTGGGCACATGTGCATGTGTGCCCAAAATCCTGAGAGGAAAGTGGAGGAGAAGGGATTGTTGTGTAGTCATCCCCATTGTGGAGATGATTTCTCATTTTCTCTTTCTCTCTGTCTCTCTCTGGCCAGCACATATGCCCTATAGCAAAATTTTTTTAAAAAAGAGCAAGATGGTTTTTCTAAAATCAGACATATATAGTGAAATTAGAAACCTCTTTTTAAAACTTTATTTTATTCATGATAGAGCATGTGCACACACATAAGAAAGGGAAAAAAAGAGAGAGAGAAGTACCCTTTTCTCAATATCAATAATAATAATATGGTTCTCATTTAAAATATTGTGGGCCAGTCAGTGGCATGGTAGTTAAATTGGCTGGATCCGACATGGCCAACTGTGCAGTTCAAATCCCAGACTCAACAGCTTATAAAACACTATATGTACATGCCTAAAATCTCAAAATATATGTACATGCCTAAAATCTCAAAAATAGAAATAGAGATGAGATTGTGCTGTGACCATTCCCCATAGGAAATGCTTTCTTACCACTCTCTCCTCATTCCTCTCCAGAAAGTGCACACACCCTCTAGGAAATTTTAAACACACACACACACACACACACACACACACACACATATAAAATTATTATGCAGAAATTAATTTTATATCATGTTTACACTGCATTTTCAAATACTAACATGATTAATTTAAATAAAATTGATATATAACCAAAGAAGTATGTAATTTAAGTAATCAAGTAAATAAATTTTTGATACTTTGAATTTGCATAATAGAATCAACCTCAATGTCCATCATAGATTGAATGGATAAAGCAAATGTAATATGAACCTGGAGTATATAATGTTAAGTGAAATAAGCTAGGCACAGAAAGACAAATAACATACCAATAATCTCACCTATATGTGAAATCTAAAAAAAGTCACATTCATAGAAACAGAGAGTGAAATGGTGATTACCAGTAGCTGGGGGAATTGTTGCTCAAAGGACACAAAATTTCAGTTAGACAGGAGGAGTAAGTTTAAGAGATCTATTGTACAATATAGTGCCTACAGTTAATACTTGAAAATTGCTGAGAGGAGATTTTTAAGTATAAGAATATGTCTTAACATGAAAAAATGGTATGTCAGGTAATGTATATGTTAAATAGTTTGGTTTAGCCATTCTACAATGTATACATACACCAAAACATCATGTTGTATATAAATACATATAATTTTTGCTTATTAATTTAAAAATAAATGTAAAAAGAGAGTATACAGTGGTGATGATTGCACAGTACTATGAATGTAATTAAATGTTACTGAATTATATACTTAAAACAGTTAAAATGACAAATTTTATGTTATCACATTTTACTACAATAAAAAGTATATGGATGGGGAAAAAAAGAGTTAGTGGACTTTATATATAACACTTAGTATGTGGGGGCTTGAAAAAGTTCATGGAAAGTGAAATTCCAGCCTGAGTTTACTATAGTGCAAAAAAAAAAATCTATGCAGTTTTTTCATAATATACACTTTCCATGAATTTCTAGAAGACACCATGTTTAAAGTCAGCTCAATGGTTTTTAGAACTCAGATAATTCACATTATATAAGACTAAAATATTAAAGTCTTTACATGAATCCCCATTTTAAATATTAACCACACAAGAGAAATACTAAAGTAAATATTTCAATCAGCTGGCATATTCAAAATACTTAAGGTATAAAAGATGAAAGCATCTTCAGGTCAAATAGTCTCACAACTCTATTACTTCTTAAAGTTCTCATTCAACTATCCTGCAATGAGAACATTTTAAAAATCTAGGTTGTTTCTTAAAACAAAATTAAATGAAAAGCCCAATTTATCTAATGAACATAAATATCTTAGGAGTTCAAAAGCCATCCAACACCTTTAAAGAATCATAATCCAACTAACCTTTTTTTTCCTCAGTAATCTTTCTGTGAATTTATTTGTGACAAATCCTCTTGGACCAGCGAACCGTAAACGCTGATATTTAGCCTGAATGTACAAGCTCTTCTGTACTAGGCCTGATTTATACTGGGGCTGGAATCTGCTACCTCTAAAGTTGCTCTGCAAAGGAAAAAATTAAATGTTAAAATTGCAGCTTCCAAATCTACTTTACTAGTATAACAGATAAGAAACTGCCAGTGTTAAGAGCTGCTCTTGATTCCAGGCACTATAAATACTAAAAGGAAAAGAGTTACTAATACATTTCCCTCAAATTAGCTTTCTAGCTTTCTAGCTTTTAAAATATACCGATTTTTAAAAAATCTTTGTATGAAACCAATTTTTAAAACTGCCGAAAGAATTTGAGGGGCCAGCAGGTGGCACGGTGGTTAAGGCACTGGACTCCTACATGGCCGACTGCAGTTAGATCTGAACCCAGCAGCTTAAAAATCATGCCAGGCACCTGTGTGTGCATGCCCAAATTCCCAGGAGGAGAATGGAGGAGAAGGAATTGCTGTGTGATCAGCTCCCCTGGGGAGTGATTTCTCACTTTCCCTCTCACCATCTGTCTCTCTCCGGTGAATGCAAATGCCCTATGACCAAAAAAATGCAAAACAACAAACAAACAAACAAACAAAAACCTGGAATTAATTTTTAAAGTTTATCATGCTAAAAAGTACAATTTTCAAAACCTCTGATATGCTAACATTATTCTTTTGATTCATAGTGAAATATATCAAATTCCAATGAGGAAGAAAAAATATTAAGTATCAATATTTACTTAAGAATCAAAAATTTAACTTTATTTCTATCAATACCTTGAAGCAAATCTTTTTCACACACGCAAAAAATAACAGTAAATGTGAGTGATATTTTAAAAGACCATTTCCAGGTTCCATGCTGGTTAAGGTGATAGACTCACATGTGGCTGACCACAGTTCAATTCTTAGACCTGGCGGTTTGAAAATCACACTGGGCATGTGTACATGCATGCCCAAAATCCCAAGAGGAGAATGGAGGAGAAGGGGTTGTGGCATTGCATCCCCTTTGGGGGGTGATTTCTTACTTTCTGTCTTTCTCCAGCAAATGTATGTGCCCTAAAGCAAAAATATCTCTCTCTCTCTCAAAACAAAACAAAACAAAACAAAACAAAACAAAACAAAACAACCATTTTCTGGCCTGCCCACTATCAGTATATGAAGACAATGAATTTAGTTGATAAGAGAGATGGTCCTGGGACCAGCAGTTAGTGTAATGTCGCTGGACACCCATGTAGTCAACCACGGTTCAAGTCCCGGACCTGGTGGCATAAACTCACGCCAGGCGAGTGTGCGTGCGTGCCCAAGATCCCGAGAGGAGAATGGAGGAGAAGGGATTGTGGTATGGCCATCCCCCCTGGGGGGGTGGTTTCTCACTTTCTGTCTCTCTATCTCTGTCTGTCTGGCGAGCGCACGCGCCCTATAGCAAAAACCTCTCCAAAAAAAAAAAAAAAAAAAAAAAAAGAGGGATGGTCCCTTGTTAATTCCTGCTAGGGGCTGGAGAAGGAAGGAGTCTTCAGTTTTGTCAGTCAAGAATCAATCCTCTCCAAACCTTCCAAAACAAGTCTACAAATATCCTTCCCTCATCCTACTATATCATACACTCTTGATGCCCACCTGCATTTCCAAGCATCTTCCATGAATAATCTAAAACAGAAGGAAAATTGGTCCAAAGATTCATAGATGGAAACTATCTCTACCCTAGTAAGTTTTAAAACTTACTTATTCTGTTTTTTTAAAAGAACTATTTTTATTTAACTTTATTATTACCATTATTATTTTCCAGTTTTGATTAGAGAGAGAGAGAGAGAGGAAGTGAGAAAGCAAGCCATCAGGTCCAAGACTTGAACCGTGGTCAGCCATGTGGGAGTCCAGCACCTTTAACCACCATGCCACTTGCAGGCCCCTAAAACTTACCTATTCTTAACCCATTGAAAGAGGCTTCATTTAGCTCTTGAGTACCAATGGGATTTCTCCCAAAAATCAATGATTAAAATTCTCCTATAGAAGGGCCAGTAGGTGGTGTGGTGGTAAGGGCACTGGACTCTCACATGGTCAACCACAGTTCAAGTCCTGGACCTGGCGGCTTGCTTTCTCCCTTTCTCTCTCTCTCTCTCTCACATTAAAATTCTGGAAATTTTAAAAAGAAGAGGAAAGAGCTCCTATAGGGGCACAAGCAGATGGCATAATGGTTAACATCACTGGACTCCCTATAGTCAACTGCAGTTTGAGTCCTGGACCCACAAGCTTAAAACTCATGCCAGGCACATGTGTGTGTGTGCCCAAAATCCTGAGAGGAGAATGAAGGAGAAGGGATTGTGGCATGGCCATCTGCCCTGGGGGGATGATTTCTTGCTTTCTGTCTCTTTGTCTCTCTCCGTCTCTCCAGCAAGTGAACATGCCCTATAGCAAAAATCTTTCTAAAAAAAATTATCCTATAGAAATAAAGGGAAACCATATGAAGACAAACTCTAAGCAAAATTAAACTTAGTAAGTACAAGTTCAGCATAAATTCAATATTAGGAGATCTAATTCCAAGAAGTCAGGAGATGTCATAGAAAAGAAAAGAACTTTGGTGGCCCAACACACTCACAGAGCTATAAAATTTTTCTGAATTCATGCAACAACATTCATACCTAATACTTTATGCAAAGTATTAAACAAACCCACCCCTTTATTTTTAGGGGCTGATGGTTTTGTGGAGACACCAGTCTGTGCACTTGATGAGTAGCTAGTCCTGATTTTGCAAATAGGAGTCTCTATGAAGATTGAAGAAAAACCCTCCAAGCATGAAGATCAGAAGCAGTATTTAGCTTAAATGGCTAAAGACTTGACCAGTGTTCATTTATTGGGCAGGGACAGGTCAGAATAAAAGCTGTAAATTCTGTGCCTTCAAAATGAAGCCACATTTAATGCAATCCTAATCCAGTTATCAAAGTTGTTCTTCACAGAAATAGAAAAAAAAATCATAAAATTTATCTGGAATCATAAAAGATCCTGTATTGCCAAAGCAATACTATATAAAAAGAATAAAGTAAGAGGCATCTCACTTCCTGACCTCAAAACATATTACAAAGCTGTGATAATCAAAACAGGATGGTACTGGCACAAAACAGGCATGTAGACCAATGAAAAATAGGGAACCCAGAAATAAACCTCACAACATACAGACAACTGATTTTTGACAAAGGGCCCAAGACAACATAGTAGGGAAAAGAAAATCTCTTCAGCAAATGGTACCGGAAAACTGGATACCTACCTGCAGAAAAATGAAACTGGACCCTTATCTCTCACCATTAACAAAAGTCAACTTGAAATGGATCAAAGATCTAAATGTAAAACTTCAAACTGTAATACTACTGGTGGAAATAATGATGGGGAGGGACATGGAGCAGAAAATCTTGGAGACATTGCAGTAGGTCAAGACTTAAATAAGATCGCCAGAGCACAGGTGATAATCCCAAAAATAGACAAATGGGATTACATCAGGCTTTTTAGAAAGCTTCTGCACAGCAAAAGTAACAATAATTAAAGAGATAACCCATGGAATGGGAGAATATATTTGCAAACTATGCTTCAGATAAAGGACTGATAACTAGAATATATAGGCAGATCAAGAGGCTTACCCACACAAAAAATACAAAAATACATAAAATAAACAATCCAATTAAAAGATGGGCAACAGATAATTCTCCAAGGAAGACATATGAATGGCCAAAAAGCATATAAAAATGTTCAACATCTCTTATCATATGGAAATGCACATCAAAACCACAGTGAGATACCACCTAACCCCAGTCAGAATGACAAAGATGAAAAAAATATGATAAGTACCAGCGAGACTGTGGTGAAAAGGAAACTCTCCTACACTGTTGGTGGAAATAAAAATTAGTACAGCCACTGTGTAAAGTGATATGATGGTTCCTCAAAAAACAGAACTACTATGTGATCCAGCAATTCCATTTCTGGATATCTACCCAAAGGTTAGGAATATACTCAGTTGGAAAAATACTTGCACATCCATGTTTAATGCAGCATTATTCACAATTGCCAAGACATAGAATCAACCCAAATGACTAAGAACAGATAAATGGATTGAAAAAATGTGGCACATATACACTATGGAATCCTCAGCCATATAAAACAATTTGATACAAAGTGAATGAATATGCAACATTTAATGCTAAGAGAAGCAAGCCAGAGTATAAAAGAGAGGCATTGCATGTGTCCCCACTATTATAATATATACCAAATGTCTGCACTCTATGGCAAAAACTGAAAGATTGGATATAACAGCAGAGTTAAGGGTAACTGTAGATATTAGAGACAGTATAAGAGGAGATGGGTAATAGTGGGTGAGAGGGAAGGGATCAGGGAAAAAAGACACATTTAACAGATAGAAAAATGAACAGTTATTTGTTGAGGATGATGTATATGATAGTATCTGACTTGACTAATAAGCACTGTATTCATGATGGGAAAGATCATTCTGTACACTGTAAAGATGTACAGTGATTAAGTGCATTATAATTTTAAAAGATTTTTTTAAAAGAAATCAAGGCATACTAAATTTATTACCAAATGTGCTCGCTCTCTCTCTCTTTTTTTCCTTTTGTAAAATCAGAAAAATACTCAAAAGATTGGTTTTTAAACACACAACCTCTAGGGAAGTTAATAAAATTGTTTACAAACACTACAATCCATACCTTAAATAAAAGGTCTCTTTAAACACTACTTGGTTCCTGATAACAAATTCAGATTAGCCAGCAACTAAGGTAATGCCAGAAGGAAGAAATTGGGCCTTTGTCTGGTGAATTGTTTTTGTGGAGCTGCTGCCGCTTTTTAAAAAGAGGACAATTGTGAGGTCGTGAAAGGGAGAACTGACTCAAAGCATGTAAAACATGAAGCTCCTAATTTAATGAAAGTCATGCATGTGTTAAACTGAATTTAGACTTTACAATTATGGCCTGATTAACTTTTAGACAATGTTTAGGTTCTATAATAATTCTCAGACTTGGCCACAGAAATAGATTTTAATCTTTTCAAATTTAGTTCTTTTTGTTTATTTAAGGTCCATTTTCAAAGTACTTAAGAACAAGAAACAGATCATGGGCAGTAATAGAAAAACAAATGTACAAATGGTGTAGTACAATGGCATAATTATAAAAACTAAGTGGAATCCTCTTTTCACAATTATTTTAGAAATGAGTATGTTGGGCTAGGCCGTGGTCTGGTGGTTAAGGTAGCTGGATCCCACATGGCTGACTGTGCTGTTTGAGTCCTGGACCCAGTGGCTTGAAAAACACACAAGGGACATGTCTATGGATGCCCAACATCCCAAAAGACAGAAGAGACGGAGTAGAAAGGATTGCGGCATTGATCATTCCCTATGGGGATGCCGTTTCATTTTTCTTCTCTCTCTGTCTCTGTCTCTCTCCAGTGAGCACATACATCCTCTAGCAAATTAAAAAATAAATAAATGGGTATATCATACATAATGAAACATATAAGACCTATTTATGCAAGACTTATTTTCCAATTATTTTCTTAGAGTTACGGAAAATTTCAGAATTAAAATGAGACACTGTATCTTGTGAAGACTACACAAAGTTGATACATTAGACTTAGTCTTATTATTGTTAGCATATAATAATTACATATAATTGTGGGGGTATAATGTGATTTTACAGTATAATCTGTAATGATTCATTTGGAATAATTAGCATACTCATCATCTCAAACATTTACAACTAATCTTAAGATTGATATGGTCCATTTTTACTTATTTAATAAGGTGATTACTATCTGGCTTTAAATTAATCCAATTCATGTAAAAAGTAGATTTTAACAAGATATTTTCTGTTCACACTAACAGTCCTCCCAAAGAGTTAAATACTCTATCAAGCTTGCCTGCTACTTTCAGAAACAAAGCTCAAATTCTTTGCTTTCTCCTTTGGGAGAAGAGGAAAGAGATGACATACAGTGAAAAATCTGAATAAAGTACCTATTATAAGCAAGAAATTCAATCTAAATGGATTTTAAAATCTCCACAACTTTTGAGAGCAAGGAAAGAGAAACACAATACTTTGTACTATAATTCAAATTCCATGTTTGAGGGATGAGGTGTTATGAATAAGCAGACATGTTGGTTGACTAAAAACTACCACTGGGCTAGCTGGCAGCATAGAGGTTAAGATGCTAGATCTCACATGACTGACTGACTGGTTTGAGTCCAGGACCAGCTGCTTGAGGATTATGTCAGGTGCATGTGTGTGCATGCCCAATATACTAAGAGGAAAACAGAGGTGAAGGGATTGCAGGATTGTACCCTGTTTTGTGTTCTTAATCCTACATTTAAACACACTTTGAATGTAGGATTAAGAACACAAAGCAGGGTGATTTATCATTTTCCCTCTCTAGTGAGTGTATATGCCCTATAGCAAAACTAAAAGTAACAAAAACAAAAACAGAACTCTCATTTACATCACATATATAGATGTACAAATAGTTACAATGCAATAAAATATGCTTTAAAAAAAAAAAGCCGTCTAGGGATAGCCCCATGGTCTAGTGGTTAAGGGAATCAGATCCCACATGGCCAACAACAATATAAATCCAGACCCCTGTGGCTTGAAAAATACACCAGGTGTTGGGGCTGGTAGGTGGCATGGTGGTTAAGGGCGCTGGACTTCCACATGGTCAACTGTGGTGTGAGTCCCGGACCTGGCAGCTTGCTTTCTCATTTTCTCTCTTTCTCTCTCTCTGGTCAAATTAAAATATGTAAATAAAGTTGAATAAAATAATTCTTTAAAAAATAAAAGAAGAGAAAAATACACCAGGTGCACATACATGTATGTTCCAAATCCCAAGAGGTTGGGGAAATGGAGGAAAAGAGATTACAACATGACTATGACCATGCTCTGGTGGGGGATGATTTCTTCCTCTTCCTCTCTCTCTGGCATTGGGGGAAAAAAAGGCTGTGGGGACTAGCACTTTGACGATTTGGAAGGCCTGTGAGGTTTACATGTCTATGGGCAGAGATTTTCAACTGTGAATCCTGGAGAAAACTTTCCAGTTCTGTTTTTAGAGGTAATGGGGAAAGCTTAAGGGGAGAGTCTGGGACCTTGCCTGCCTCTCCCCCCACGGCCACTCCACCTGTATGTAATTTATGTTTTGTATTTCTATGTAATATGTGAAAAAGGGATCCAGAGGGAAAAAAATAATGGACCACAGGTAAAAAAATAATGGAAAATCAAGTCCTGAGGGAAGGGGTCATTATTAAACTGGTTATATTTAAACAAGAATGCCCAGAAATACTAGTTCATAACTACTATTTGAAAGAATATCATAAAAAGAGCTTTTAATTTACTAACACTTAAAACGTTATTTCCAAAGCACAAACTCTAAGCCAAAATTAAATGGAAAATAACACTTGATACCTTAAAAGGTCTTTTAAAGCCTCTTGTGTTTTGATCGTTTCCCTCAACTTCAAATGGTTTGTGAGTAATGATGTCTTTTGTCTGCATAATATAATTCTGCATTAAAAAAGTATTAGCATGGGTTAATATACTTTAAAGCTTTTTTTTTTAACCATTAAAAAAACACATTTTAAATGTAGGATTAAGAGCACAAAGCAGGGAGCATAGAGTTTAGCTGTACAAGTGCACACATACACATATCCTTCCTTCATAAGACCCATCTGAGTTTGTGAGGGGCTAGTTTCATTCATGCCTGTGAGAAGTATAAACAAGAAATATTCTCATATAACACAATGGGTGACTTTAAGAAAATGGACTATAAATATAGCATTTATTCAGGCATCCAGAAGAGAAAAAAAGCCCACTACTATTAGGGGTTGCTAAAAGGTTCCTATGGTCTAATAATACAAATCCTTAACATTGCAGGAGGCAGATTTTGCTCACTCAAATATCTGATTTGAGGTGATGTTTCCAACATGGCTGGGAAAGTATCCGAAATAAGACAAAGAATTATGTTGGTAATTCTGTAACAATGAAGAACCCAAATCCTCTGGCAGGAACAGAAAAGTGAGACCCATTTTCAAGACAGTGTCCTTCCTCTAAAATCAACAGTCGTATAACCTTCCATTCTTTCCACTTTCTGTGGAGAGATGACTATGCTAGGCAGCTACTGACATGGCTCTCCATGACCCTACCAATGAGCTCTCCCTTTGAATATAGACAGGACCTAGTAACTTGTTCCTTGAAAAAAAGAATATTGGGGGGCAGCAGTGGGTGTGGTGGTTAAGGCTCTGGACTTTCACATGGCTGACTATGGTTCGAGTCCTACACTCAGTGGCTTAAAATTCATACCAGGCATGTGTGTGTGCATGCCCTAAATCCAGAGAGGAGAATGGAGGAGAAGGGATTGCAATCCCTTGCATGGCCATCCTGCCAGTGGTGATTTTTCACTGTCCCTTTCACTGTCTCTCTCTGGTGAATGCACACACCCCATGGCAAAAACCTAAAAAAGAGGGGAAAAAAAAAAGAAAACAAAAAAAAACATGGGGCCCAGTTAGTGGCATGGTGGGTAAGGCAGCTCGATCCCACATGGCCGACTGTGTGGTTTGAGTTCTGGACCTGGCAGTTTGAGAAAACATGCCAGGCATGTGTATGTGCATGCCCAAAATCCTGAAAGGAGGAAGAAATGGAAGAGAAGGGATTATGGTGTGATTATTCCCCATGGGGGATGCTTTCTCACTTCTGTCTGTCTCCTTCAAGGGCACATGTCCTCTGGTAAATAAAAAAAAAAAGAATATGATAAAGTGATAGGATATTACTACTGAAACTAGGTGACAAACATACATTGGCTTCTATAATATCTAGTCATTACTTGCTCATTTTTTTTTTTTTATGGAAGCCAGTTGCCATTTTGTGAACTGCCATACACAAAGGCAAATCTGTAAAACATAAAGTACATTACTGGTTGGCTGGGGATGAGAGCAGGGAATAATTAAACAGGCATGAAGGCTCTTAGTGGGCAATAAAAATATTACAACACTGTATTATGGTGATAGTTACAAATCTTGGTAAATTCACTAAAAAAAATTGTTAAACTATACACCTGAAATGGCATGTAAATAATACCTTAATAAAGCTGTTCCCCCAAAAAATCTTAAGAAAGCTATTGCTATAATAAATGTAATAAAACCCTACCAAATCAAATATGAAATCATAATTGGGGGGGGGGTCGTCAACTTTAAGCCTTGACATGTACTTAATAAATAATTATAAACACTATGAAAAATATTATTGATCTCTGTACATGTAAATATAAATGAGAAAGAAAATGGACAAAAATGAAAATTTTGAAACAGCAATCTTACCATGTAAGGTTTCTGAATAAATTTTCTAAAATTTGATTTTATAAAATGTGTAGGTTTTTGGACTCCATCAGCATGAAAATTCTATACCTTTGAAAAACTGGAATGCTGATCCAGCAGCATGAAAATTCTTTACCTTTGAAAAACTGGAATGCTGATCATTCCTAATAAAATGAAAGAGAGAAAAATAAGAGTCCTTTATTAGTTTACCTTTATCTAATAAATAAATGAGAAAAAACTTAAAAGTCTCTTCAGAGACAATTAAAGTAGCACAACAGTAAAATCAAAATGTTATCTTATTACCAAAATGACAAATGATAGTTAACAAAGCTGAAACCCACATCTTTCAACAAACTTTAGCTAAATAGGAAATTAACAATAGGTGAAAAACAAAATTCCTTGAACCATAGTTCTCAATCTGAGGTCCAAGAACAGGCATCTTGGGGACAGCAACCACCCCCAAACATTATGCAAAATGTGTATTTTCTGAGAAAAGATAATCATTGCCTTAGAGCCTTCAATAGCACTAGCCCCTCCCTGTTAACAGACTCTTGTTAGTGAAAGCATCAATGGCTAATGACCCAGTTCCATTCATCAGAGGTGAGGTGTGTGACTGGCTCAGGATCCCTTCACTGGCAGAGCTGAGGTCTCTGATCCTGCCAGGTCACAGCAGTAAAAGACAGGCTTTTTTCTCTAGCCATCAAGAGATCTTGAGGCTACTCAGGGGTCTTCCTAGGCAGCCCTATCTGGGAAGGAGGTCCTTCCTTGGGCTTTTCCACTGATTCTGGAAGGCTCATTTCCACAGTCCTTGCATATTCCTTGTCACATCCAACATCATTCCAGGATGTTCTACTCACTACCTTGGCCCTGCTTCAGTCCCTCCCCCAGATTCCCCACTGGTATTAGGATAAACCCCACGCTTCTCATGATGATCCCAAAGCACTTCGTACTCCAGTCCCTGCTGCCTCGCCAGCTGCCTTGCTCTGACTCCCCAACATGCACACAGAGCTTTGGGAATATTCAATTCTGTGTGGTTCCTGGCACACACTATAATCACCCTTGCTTCTACACATTTACAAATGTAGTTCCTTCTGTCTACTTAGATTAACTTCAACAATTAGCTCCATTTGTACCTCTGCCAGGAAGTCTTTTCTAAACCTCTCTAAGGTGGACTAAGTATCTCCTGTTATGTCCAGATGTAGCATTTTGAAGTCTTAATACCTATCGTCCCATATTTGTAACCACAGGTATACCTATCTGTTCTACTGAACATGCTGCAATTCTTTCAAAGGAAGCACTGTAGAAGGTTCATTGTGTGGCCCCAGGTCTGACCCAAAAATATGACATGGAACAGACACTCAAGATGTTTTTGAAATGTTAAAAAAACCCATGTTCTGTCAAAATGTTCATGATATGATAATAAGTAAAGCACTTCGTACTCCAGTCCCTGCTGCCTCGCCAGCTGCCTTGCTCTGACTCCCCAACATGCACACAGAGCTTTGGGAATATTCAATTCTGTGTGGTTCCTGGCACACACTATAATCACCCTTGCTTCTACACATTTACAAATGTAGTTCCTTCTGTCTACTTAGATTAACTTCAACAATTAGCTCCATTTGTACCTCTGCCAGGAAGTCTTTTCTAAACCTCTCTAAGGTGGACTAAGTATCTCCTGTTATGTCCAGATGTAGCATTTTGAAGTCTTAATACCTATCGTCCCATATTTGTAACCACAGGTATACCTATCTGTTCTACTGAACATGCTGCAATTCTTTCAAAGGAAGCACTGTAGAAGGTTCATTGTGTGGCCCCAGGTCTGACCCAAAAATATGACATGGAACAGACACTCAAGATGTTTTTGAAATGTTAAAAAAACCCATGTTCTGTCAAAATGTTCATGATATGATAATAAGTGAAAAGGGGAGCTGTACATTGAGAACAATTTCAATTGTTGTGTTGCATAATGACATTTTAGTCAACAACAGAGTGCATATATGATGGTACTATCATAAGAATCATATAGGCTCTACCATATAGCCTAGGTATACAATAGAGTGTACCATCAAAGTTATAGTAAATACATTCTATAATGTCTGTATGACAAAACTGCCTCATGAACATTTTTTGGAACGTATTCTATCATTAAGTGGCACATGACTATATTTAAAAATACATGGATATGTGACTAGAAAAAATAAATGACATGTACAAAATATTAACAGTGTTCACTTCTGACTAGTAAAATTAATATCTCATATTTTTGTTTATATACTTTCTTATATTTTTCCAAATTATTATCTTTAGAATGTACAACTACTACTATAATAATGTACTTAAAAAAAGCCCTATTTGCAAAGTATATATCTGATAAGAAAGTAGTATCCAGAATGTATAAAGAATTGCTACACTCCAACTATAAATGACAATAGCCTGTTAAAAATGAGTGAAGGATTTGAATAAAAATTTCTCCAAAGAAGACAAACAAATGGCCAATAAGGACATGGAAAGATGCTCAACATCATTAGTGATTAGGAAAATGTAAATGAAAACTACAATGAGATTAATGCTTTGCATCCACTACGATGGCTATAATCAAAAAGATGACAATACCAATGTTCATAACAGCTCTATATGCAATAGCCAAAAAATGGAAACATCACATATGTTCATAAACATGAATGGATAAATGAAATGTGGCATATTCATTGAAATATTCACCCTTAAAAATGTATAAATTTTTTTTTACAAAATAAAGTTTGGGAGATGGATGCCAACTTGAGCTGTGAAATATTGGTTTCCTTGACTAAAAATGAAGTTTTTTTGCTGAGACTTATCCTTCCAGATTCATTTCTAGTGGCCTCTACACACTGTCTAGACAGGTCCAAGTGAACAGGATCCAAACATCTGAATATGATTAGGGTCAGAATATTCCTCTATTCCCACTGAATCTGAAGCACAAAGAGTGAAAACAGAATGAAAGAAAGATTGCAGATCACCTCCTCCTGCATGCTTCTGAATGCTCAGATTGAACTTCAAGAATTAGGAAGAAATGCACCATCCATCAGATGACTAGAAATCACTGCATGGTCACAAGAAATATGGGGAAGCAAGAAAATACCTCTCCTCCAAGGAAAAAGAATAACTCCTCTTCATCCTCAGACAGTACAACGAAACTCACGGAAATGTCAGATAAAGAATTTAGAATATTCATAGTGATAAAGCTAACAGAGATGGAAGAGAAGAGAGACAATGAACTGCAGAAGAG